GAAAGAAAGCTAAAACTAGAACAAGAATCAAACATTTAAGAGGAACATTTATTAGACTATATCTGCCTAAGATACTATCTTTAACTTAATTCATATGAAGCAAATTATATGGCATCATATACTATGCAGATGACAAAAAAAGAAGATTACTAAGGATTCTTAGTAGCCTTTAAAAATCTTACTGATGAGGTGGTTTATCATGAGTTTGCATGATGAACAGCCAAATGGAGATGTGCTATTTTTGCTGCCACTAGGTTAGACTCAGACTGTCACAGTCAGTCTGCTTCTCCTTGGTCCTGGTGCTCTGGAAATTCACATGTCTGGATCCATGCTTAATGCAGACATACCAGGGGTAAGGACTAAGTTACTGTGCCTCAAAATGGAAAAGAAATCTTGAAACACATTGGATAACTAATAAATTATTTTACTTTACATTAAAGACATCTATCTTGTCAATTGAGAACCTGAGTCCATTGGCCTAATTCTTAAATATGTAGCCTTATAGTACACCTTACACTACACACTGGATAAACCAGTTGTAGGGTGAGCTCCTCACAAGTGAACTCAGAGCAATTCCACTTCCCCTACCTCATACAAAACTGAATCCTTACTTATGTCTCCTTTAGAAAGAAAACACTAACTATTTTCATTAGAGTATGCAAAGAAATCCAAAGACGCAGAAAACGGCCACTTTGTGAAGGCAAACAGCAAAAGCTATCTCTAAATTTGAAAAAAAAAAAAAGAATAATCAGGATGCTATTCTTTAGGTCACTATTTAATTTCTCTTTTAACTCTTAACTCATTCTACCTTTCATGTTTTATTTGTTAGAATTTAAAAAATCTTGTCTTTAATCATTTATCGTATAGAAATCTTAGGTAAAGCTTTGTCAGGCACTAAAAAATCTGCTATATTAGGGCTAACAGAAATGTACAGATACCAGGGGAAAATAGTAAGCTAATGAATGTGATAGGCATCTACTATGGATGGCATCAACAGTGATGTGCAAAATAAAGTAAGTTTACAAGGCCCTGTATTAAGCTAGTCTGATATTTAATTTCCATTTTATGGAGATTATCCATTACTCCACTTAATATGTGCAAAGTAATAAAAATCTTCCATTCAAATAAAAATCAGTTTTCCTATGCAGAGCATAGGGCGTCACACACAACTCACCTTCCTTCTTTCCTCTTCCTTTTGTTCTTATAAGCTGCTAAGAAATTTAATATATTATTTTCCTGAATAGCCAATAATCAGGCTTAAGGTTCATCACTTATGTTAAAAAAGGAAGTATATTTCTGTTTTCATTTAGCTTTCATTAGGACTCACCTTGGAAACACGAGTTATGATGTTAACTTTCCGGTGCACTGATGTTATCCCTTCAGAGAAAACTGACTGGAAGATAATACACTGAGCTCGTTCTGTGAAGTTGGGGATCTGAGATAACTCATACAAAAATCTGTGGGAAAACAAAAGTATAAACGAGTCTTTATATTTCTTTTCTGTGGGGTACAATAATGGATCAAAGCTGTAGTATAATGAAATATACATGCAATCTTTCCTTCTTCAAATCAGATGTGACAGAATTTATAATTGTTACATTCTTTATGCTCAATGTGTCAAGAAATCCTATTAATATCAAGAAAAAGGCAAGACGTTAATCATTATCACATGAATCCATTAATCCACTATCACAGCTGCATAATAATAAATAGAAGAAACATAAACCTAGATCATAGGTTAAAAAGAAAAAAAAAACAAAGAAAAGAAAAGAGCTAGAGAAACATTATTTAATGTTTTCACTCATGTGTTTTTGCTTCTTTTAAAAATGTGCCCAGCAATAAGGGACTCCATTTATTCCTACAACATTATTTCATAATATAAAATGTCTGCCAAGAAATTTCTTCTGATGCTCAGCAAATTTTACTAATTTGCACCACACTTCCAATTATATAGCAGCATGTTTTATGGTAATGCACCTAGCCGTACACTTAGCTCTATAGTACTTGCAGATTATATCTCTCTCCAGTTACTGTTAGCATACTTACTAACTCTTTATTTGCTCTTTATCTGTCCTCATATACGCACTTTACTTGTGAGTCCTACTCCAGCCTTCTCCCTTTAACTCATTGGTAAATAAAACCAAATAGAAGCATATTCAACAACTGTAGTTCGGATACGACAAAATGAAAGCATCCCAAAGGCATGAGTAATTCTGCCCTTTTCTCTTGTTCAGTTTAAAATGTAAGAGCTTGGCTAAATAATAAAAGAAGCTTTAGCATTTCTTAGAATAACAGAGTTTGCATGATTTGCTTTGTGGGTTTTGAGTCTAGGATTTCAGAGATACACATGCTTTCTTGAAATCCAGAAACAAGCTGTCTTTTGTTCCAGTATCACTTTAGAACATTCTTCTAATCTCATGTCTACAGATATCCCTAGATACCCCTTAACACAATGCCATAAAGATCTTTCTATGTCATGGGAAATTCTGGGAACCATTATTAGCTTGCATTTTTAATGAATTTATTTTAATTATTTAAGCCAATACATCTGATTTCTCCAAATTATTTCTTTTCATAATAGATAATATCGCTAGCTTCAAATCTGCTTTATAAATTTCTCATGCATGCAATGCTTTGCTGAATACATAATAGCTGTCTAAATTACCAGCAAAATCCACCTGTGGCTGGTGTGAAATACTACGTTTTAATTAGAATATATATTTTTTTCCCCTTCTTTTTCTTTCTTGCCTGATGAAAAAATCTATTGTGAGAGAAGGATTGGGGAGGCCAAGCTTGGCTTTTACACTTAAGCAGTGGGGAAAAAAACAAATGCCAAGCTGGTATTAATAAAAATGCTTCCTATTGGGAATGAATGGTATTGCCAGGAAGAAAAAAAAAAAAAAAAAAAAAAAAAGAGGATACTTTGCACTTTGTGTAAGAGAAACAAAAGAAAGAAAACCCCAAACTGTTTCACTGAAGTTCTAACATACATACATTTTAGAAGTTTAAATCTAAAAAGCCAAATGACACATATTCTTCCCTTCCTTTGAAAAGACAACTATTTCCTCCACCACTGGTCATTGGAATACAACATAATTGTGCTAAGAGTTAAAAGAGCATCAGCATAAAAAGAAAATAAGAAAATGTCTCCAGATTTTGGAATTCAAAGTATTCAGTGTAAATATCCAGATAGAACACTTATAACTTATATAATCCATCACAAAAAGGAATCTTAGTAATTACAAATGTAGTTACGAAACACAAAATCATGGTGTGAATCTGTGGTTATCACAGATAAACCACCAATTCAGGTGGAGAGAAACCACCAATTTTTTTTGAGAGAAAAAAATATTTTAATTCAGCCATTTTTGCAATTTTAATCTGAGAAAAGTATTATTTTGACTTAAAGTAAGGATGACTGTGACATAGCTTTTTGATGTGGTTCTCACTATTACACTTCTTATGGTCTAAAGTAAACAGAGAATTTGATGTTCATTTCTGTGAGGTCCATTTTACTCCTCTCCTGCAGAAACTGTAATAAAAATAAGGCATTTACTTGAGAACTCTTTTATCCTACCAGAATCCTGTAATAAAGGATTTAAGAGTACTTTCAATCCAGGCATATTACCATGTTGCTAGTGTAACAGAACATTCTTCCAGAAGATAGCCAAGGAAGGCTTATTCTCTGGAGGTAAACCATTTATCAGTTCACATTTATCCACATTTGAAGCATATAAAATTTATAAATTTTTTCTTTTGGGAAAAGGTGCATCTAATCCTTCAAGCTTCTAAGTAAGTCACTAGAATTTAAACTGAAGTCAAAGGAAAGCAGTCTTCAAAGAAAGCAAATGGCATTACTTGGACAGCAATTACCATAGCTAACTAATTCCTGAATCCAAACATATACATATAATACATACAAACCAGGAAAGCTCAATACCATATTTCACTGCTACTTCTTTCATTCGCACTTCTGTCACTGCAGAGAGGACTTCACAGAGTTTATATTACAACTAAAAGGGTCTTCCTGGAAACCAGCTAAAGCATCTGTATCCTGCTAGCAATCCCCAAAATTGTGGTCAATTGTGCATATAAATGTTTATCATGATAATGAATATTAGCATTTTAACAACTATTATCATAAAGCACAATTTAGGGGGGTATTGTCATGTTGCTGTCATAATTACAGTTTTTGCCAATAATACCAAATTTAACACGCCAGCAAAACAAATCAAAATCACATGTGCAGGAGAGCATCAGTGATACCAATAAATCTTCCTACTTGCAATCCAAGCATTTAAAAATGGCAAGTGCTTCCTTTAGACTTCAGTGAATTCATGTCAATGTATTCATTACATGACTGCCTATTGCTGGGATTTCCAGCCATTGATAAATGGTTTATTTTGCCATTTTGTTCTGATCCTCATTAAATAAAATACATGACGCTGATGCCCTGTAACAAATATTTTTAATCATACATACAAATTTACCAATTTCTTGTCTTTTTAACTTTTTATGGATTTAATATGCATAGTACAGTTCCAACAAATCTCTAGTTCTGAATTTAGGTTGATTTAAAGGCTGACAACAAAACCGGCAACACCTGGTTTAATGAGTTTTCAAAAAGGACATTATTTTGAAGGTCCAGTAAAATTTATATGTGTACCATCAGTAAATTGTTTTGTCTTTGAGGTAACATTTTGAAAAGCTAGTTTTCTTAACCCATGTATTATAATAATAGGGTAGGAATGGGCTAATTAAGGCTTGCAGAGTCTTATTTATTACACAAAGAGTAATAATTGATAAAAGTAGCTTTTGTCTTCAGCAGTAGTATTTCACTCTGAATGATCAGGCATAACTACTTTATTTATAATACTTTACTTTTAATTATGGAACAATGATAGCATAAATCCAACTTTGTATTTAAGATTAACATTTACTCACCCTAATTTACAAAAACAGACAAACCCTTTGTTACTCTGGAGTTCTACAAGATTCGTATTGTCCAGAACAAAAAATGCATTAATATTTATTTCACTTAGACATACAGCAAACAGATTGCCAAAGATTCTAGCTCTGGAAAACATCAACTAGTCACACAATGTATTCTTGTGCCTCAAGACAATGCAATGAAAGCCATGGATACGGGATGCAAGAACAAGCTAGCATATACACGTTACAGATACTTGTCATCTAAATCTTACTGAAGAATGATAGCCACTCTTAATCAAGTGTGACAGCCCCCTCTCCCAAAATTTACCTATTCTCTAGTGGACAGTCACAAATGAATATTTAGCTGACTTGTATTAGGAGAAAGAGAAAAAAGAATCTGCTCTTCACCACTTAACATTTTAAGGGGAAAAAAAGGTATGAAAAGTCAATACTTCTGACATCGACCAGTCACATACTATCTCTGCTGTTTCAGTTCTTCCTCACCCTACCCTTTCTTATGGCAAAGACAGCTTAAAAGGCAACAACAGACAAGAGGGAAAAGGAAGCAAGATGACTGAGAGGCCTCAGGGCAGGAATATGCACTGTGGTTAGGAGAAAATGATGGAAGTAAAAAGGGAAAAGTAACAAAGTAGCAGAAGACAAACACCACCAGTAGGCCAAAATCTGAAATCAAATTAATACACAAAAATAAAATTCAAAACTACAATTCTGCTCATGGATTCTTGTGATTTTCATATTGGTCTAAGGTTTATTACAACAGAACAAGTAATACTGAAGTTTTTCATTCTAACAGTTGTCAGTGCCCAGAAGAGCTGCAGGAGATGAACTGTGGAATCAGCCTTGTAGGTCTTCAATTAGCATTAGGAGAGTGTACATTGTGTCTTTGTCACAGGACTCACCAAAACCCTCTGTTTGTGTAGCTGTTTCTAATAACTAACAACCAAAATCAGTCTGGCCCCACTTTATGACACATTAATTTAGCCCTAAAAGCTCTAAGGGAACAATAAGCCTTTTATAAATGTGAGAATGGGAACAGATTTTTTTTGATTCAAGGCTACATGTTTTATCAGTTTTGGTGGTCCAAGTTGTAGTAAAATCTGTTATGCCTGAAAAAAGTTATGTGATAAAGACAAAGTTTACATCATGCCTTGAAATACATAAAAAAGTTGAAAATTAGCTACCCAAAAGTGTCTATCAAGATCCCTTTTAACATATCATCAAGAAATACACTATGTAACAATCAAATATCATAAAAAAATAACCTTACTGTTCTGGTTTATCCAGAAGCTTCAGTTCCTCCTCTTTTGAAGTCTGATAATATTGCTTGATTTTCTCCAGTTCATCCTTTTGTGCTCTCTAAGTGAATTAATATAAATTTATTAATAACTATTTTATAACAAATGAATAGAATACTAATCTACCTGCCTGCAAGTAACAATTATATTTTTATTGGAAAACATTTAGACTATGCAAAAGAGTGACGAATAGAGTTGTATGATAAATTCATTCATTGCCTTGTAGTGTCATTTACTACCGACAGACACAAAGTAGAGAATCCTTGTAGAACACAGCACTGCAAATACTGCTACAGGATGCTTCACACAGTTTAGATCAGAGAGGTCTCTCTGATATCCTACAGTCAAGTGTAAATGTATCCTTTCATGCAACTTCATAGTCATACATGTCATAAATGCTATATACTTAGTCTACAGAGCAACTTGGGTAAGGACAGCAATGCATTAGCCCAAGTTAACTGCTTTAGCCACTTATATCTAGAACGAGAAAAATTCAGCATGTTAACACAAAATAGGCCTTAAGTAAGGACAGTGTTTTTCAGGCAGATCAGGAGAGAAAACTGCTAGATGTTACATTTGCCTTTTGTTACATTTTAACCTGATTCGCAAAACAGCCCACTGTTTTAAATTTCTGACATTTAAGAAAGTACACCAGCAAGAGAAAGAAGCATGTCAATGAGTACTTTCTTACGTTACCTATTTTATCACTGTTAAATTCCCTAAAGACTTTTTCTATATAATGTCTCTAGTCTAAAATGACTAACCATAAAAATAAAACTTTACTTAATTCTGTGTCTGAAATACTATGGTGATTAAATCAAACTTACTTACATTTTCATATAGTGCTTCCAGTGTTTCCAGATCTACTATGGAGTCATCAACACACAGTATAGCTGTATAGAATACAATGACAAATGAGATGCTTAAACATCTTAAGCTTAAGAGTTCAATTTGGTTTCCAAAAAAGGTATTAAAGAGATCTGACCTAGACATATTTGTATCTGGTTATTTTCAGCATTTTATTTTTGTTTTGATTTCAAGTCACAGCACTCATGCAAGAACTTATTATAAACTCTTAGGAGCCTTGGGAGAATGGAGTTCTACTTTTCCTCTCCAGTATACTCAGTAATCAAAGATACGACTTGCCAGGCACTTGCCTGATTGCATAGGTGGACAGGCAGAACATGAGAACAATTGGTACCATACAGATTTCATGGTAGCTTATAAGGATGTATAGGAAGGAATTGAGAGTTAGGGTATTTAGGTCTCCCTATGTGCATGGGAGATCAGGGAGATATAAAAACAGGGAGATCTGCTTGACTTGGCATTAGCAATCTTGGAAAGTAGACAGGTAGACAAACTGTTTCCAAATTGCAAATTTGCTGGAATAGAAGATTGTACTACAGATTTTTAAGGTATCTTCATAGATCAGCTCACATTCAACTTATCTTTATTCTCTAGAAAACAACCCACATGACAATTTCCATATAAATACTTTTAAACATCATACAGAGACACCTAAAGTATACTCTTCAGTGATTAATTATGCCTCATTACCAAAAATGAAAAGTCTCAACATGATTCCTATCTTAGTTCCAAATGTTACTACATTTGGAATATATGGTATTAGATGTTTCTGACATTTGCAAATCCCATTACAATTCAGGCAATGTATTCGGACTCTTCTGAAAACTAAATAGGACCATTTCATGGTGATTTCTAACACTCTCTAATCTTAAATTCCAGAAAACTGAGAGATGCACAATGGAATAGAAATAACTTTGGATGTTTAATTTTTCTAAAGCTGGCATTTCCTCAAGATTCATAATGGGACTGGGCACAATTTCTGAATTTCTGACATGTTTAAATGTTACTGGGAACATTAATCCCAAAAGAATCAAGATTAAGGCCTCTACTAATTTTCCACATAATCAGTGACTCATCAGTAGCCAGTACCTGATAACTTTTAATTTCAACTGTATTATACTTCTTCAAAGGAAACTTGACTGCTGGTGAATTTAGAAGATTTTAAAAGCTCTTGCTGCATTTGCAATCCATGTTCGAAAGGGGCAAGGCACACATCTTTAAATAATTATTTTAAAGTAATAAGCTTTCGCCTGCTCTTCCACCTACCCCATGATTTTACATTGTGAAATTAACCAGCAGGCCAGTGAATTTTCTCTGTGGCAGGCTAATTAATTTTATTAAAAGGTCCAATGACATTTAGAATGCTTTAAAATTTTGCCTGTCGATTCTATCTGTTGACATTACACCTTGGTTGGAAGTAAAGAATTATATGGAAGAAGACAGTATCAGTGAAAAAAATCAATACCTCCAACTGTTTTTTGCCCTATTTGAAAGATGCAAAAAAGCTTAAGAGTATAACCAAAATCATTACAGATTCAGTCAACGAGATCATCTGTTGGCTCTTGCAAGACGGTTCCATGAGTTGCATTAGCCGATGACATTTCAAAAGAACCCAAGAGACTGGAAAATCTATTGGAAAATTGGTTTCATAGTTCAATATATGTAACTGCTAAGATTTTAATATGCATATTGAGTTCAAAAACTTCCCCTTGTGGTTTCACTTTCATCTTATTTTTGAATATTCCAAAATCTGCTTACAAGGAGAAATTTATTTGTCCAGAGTTATCTAGAAAAGCAACCTACTGGAGGTAATTTGAATGCGTACTAGAAATGCAAAATATGTAACTAATAGTACTTTTTTTTAGCTACAGAAGTATTGCAATAACAGGAAGTAGTTCGGAAAAAAGAATACTTTAACAAGAAGATTAAGATTTGTACATTTAACTAGAATTTTCAGTCAGAGATTTACCAGAAAAAGGCCCCAAAATCAGAGTAGTTTTAATGCTATATTTTCTTATCCATGTTTCCGTACTCAACACAAGTTCTAAAAAAGTCAGTATTGTTTTGAAGTCACATGAGAAAGCAAAAAAATTTTTGAGCTTAAACTAACAAAATACAGTCTGATAAATGAACATATTTTTAACGTAATTAATAATTGGTGACATTATTATTTTCTCTTTTGGGCAGTAAGTGATTGTATGAAAGCACAAAGAGAGAAAATATTTTCTGATTTACTTGCTATACAACCTGACCCATGCTGTTATTGGCAATGTCCATGCAGACAGGCTGCAGTTAAATATCTAGCCATATTACTCAATTCAGCGATAGCCATACGTCGTAGGGTGCTAATATACACAGACACACACTTGCCAAAACTCAGAAGTACTGTCAAAATCCACAATTCCTTTATTTCATCTTTATGCATTCTAATATCTTTGTCTTTCTGTCTTTTTTACTCAAACTGATCAAATCTAATGCCATACGCATTTGGACCAGAAGACAAAACCATGTAAAATACAGCATGGGCAATACATTCACAGTATGCTGTGTAAATTAACTTGAATTGGGGCAGCTGAAAAAAAAACATTACACTACATCAAAGAAACTAATTATTTTACTTTTTACTTAGAGTTACAAGGAACAAAAGCCTCATAATTTTTCTGTGAAAAATGTAGCCCAGTTTTAATCATATGTTTATTAATATTATTAAAATCAATAAAAAAACTGGTAAGTTTTTCAAAGTGATCTTCCTGATACAGTGAATTTAACTGTGATATTTTACTGCATTAAATCTCATTATATTAAGACTGACATAAATGTAAGTAATATAGGTGAAGTATCATAAATCTACAAAAGAGGCTCAAAAACAATTATTAGCTATTACAATATCAATCACCATCGGTGGTTTTTACTTTTATCTTGCTTTCTAGTTAGCTGTCTTCCTTACACTGTCAGTTCAGTTAGAGTATTTCACCTACACCTCACAATATGTCAAAAGGAAGTAGACTCATGCTGTGAAAAGCTGGTAATTTTATTGGGTTCCTCTACCTCTAAAAAATCTGTTACTTGGCTAAGTCTGGTTTCTGAGATCCTTTTTTTCAGGGAAATTGAGGCAAACATTTTTATGTGGCCTATGGTGTCTGCTCACAACAAGAAGAATTTATATACACAAGGATCATTAGTGCAGGGTTGCACCCATTAGGATATAATAACCGTCAGCTAGGACAAAAAACAGATCAGCATCATGCATTCAAACTAACAGGCACACATAAAAATACTTGCCAACTACATTTCACATACTAGGAGTATTGCTTTGAATATAAACTTGTACCAAAGTTTTTTAACAGACTCACTTTTAAAAAAAGAATCTAACTGTAAATAACAGATTCCCTGCACACAGATTTTTCACATACTCTCCTTTATCACTTCAAAAATGTAGCCAAAAGAAAAGCCGAGAATTTAAAGCCTACTGTGTGCAGTCTACATACAACTGTAGAACTTAGAGGTTAAATATCAAAAAGATACTGCTCTTAACCAGCTTAAATACCAACAATCTTAAGGCTGATACTGATACACAGCCTCACTCTTACTAAACACATTTTGGTTAAATCAGGATTTAAGTCCTGCCGACAGAGCTTACATACTCAGCAGTATCAGACCATTTAATGTGATGATTAAACTATGAAATATGAAGAAATCACCTTAACTGCTCCCTAATGATAAATAGAAATATGTTATTTAAATAAAAAGAGCTTTCCAAAGGTACATTTACTTGACCTGGAAGTACTTCGCTGTTTTATGTAGCACATTCTACCGACTTAGGCTTGATTTCATGGGAACATGAAGCCCATCATTGGAAATTTAAATTAAATTGTGACTGATCTAGTCAGTTAGAAAATGACAACATCTGTTAAATATAAATCCCTACTTGGAAAACCACTTAAAATATCCAAATCACTCAGGTTTATTTCTGACAAATTGGTATGTTTTTCTCCAGTATTTAACTATCATGCAACACAAAAGCCATTAAAATATACATTTCAAAGAAGCACTATGGGCATAATGTAGAAAGCTCAGCTCCTGCAAGAAGCCAGGGGCAAAAGACTCTGGCAATAATATTAACCTACCCACATCAGGCTGGATGCCCAAGACAGATTCACAGAAACATATATTGTGAATTTTCCAGGAAAACAAACAAAACAAAACAAAAAAAACCCAAACAAAACAAAAAAAAAACCAAAACAAAACCAAAAAAAAAAACCACCCACAAGCCACAACCTAAAAAAAAACCCCTTCTGAAGAAAATTGTTTCCCAACTTCTGAGATGAGTATGCAGCTATCTATACTTCATGCATAGTATACATATATAGAGAACGCATACTTGCAGTAGTCAGTGTAGGCAGAAAAGACATTCAACTTCGACGAAGTTTTTAAATATTTATAATCTATACTTCCATTCTGTGAAATATTTTAGTTAAACCCCAATAGAACTCTTTTCACATAGTGCAAGAAGTATCCCAAAGCATTTATCTTTAGCCAGAAGTATTTCCAAAATATAATAAAGGAACTGTGAACCTATTTGTGTTGCACGATATGGTTAAAACAAATCGAGATTCAGAAATTCTGAGCACACTGAGGTCTGCAGATTAGACTGGTTTTGGAGTAGTTTGCCTTATCCATATAAAACATAGTCTTTCAGATGCTAAGTGCCTGGTTAACAATGATATGCCATAAACCATAAATCGTACTAAGGAAATGCAACCTATTTATGTAATCTCTGTGGCTTCTCATCAGAGGAAAACCACACAGAAATCCCAGAATGATTAGAAACATAATATGGAATTAGAATGATTATTGGATTGATCATCAGTCTGGGTGAGTTAATCTGCTGTTTACATTTTCCCAATTACGTACTCCAATATGTTGACAATAGAGGGTAAATCACAAAGTTGGAGACCAGTCAAACACTTTTCAACTGGTTGTCTGACATTGTACAACAGTAATATGTGTTCTTTCTAGAAAGTTGGTCCCCTCCTACAATGCCACAGAAAAAATTTTGGTGCAGACTGGCATGGTAGTTATCTGCATTGATTACCATTAGAATATCTGTGGCACTATAATAAAAATATATTCTATATTTGAGAAGCAACAAAAAAACCCCAGTAATGAAGGTGAATCTACAAAAGCAGATGGCATAACCTAGGCTTTTTAACAAAATCCATTCTAACCCAACCCATCTAAGTGTGATCAAATATATTTCTGTAATTAATTTTCAAAGCTTAATATGTCTCTGCATAGATAATTTACATTGTTGGTGAATAAAAGAATGTTCCAAATGCACAGTAAACATACCAGGTCCCCATACATGCTATTACAGGTTGGCCAGTGCTATTCTGATTTAATAAATGGAGTCTCAGACATAATATTTAATTGCTTAACATCTAGGAAAGAAAAAAACAACTAAATTAGCATTAGAAATAGTCTCAATGCTAAGGATCAGAGTTAAATTCCCCTAAGGCTATCAGTGTTGCAGTGCTACACTGTTAAACTCTTGCCTTGTTAAATGCACTAGCAAAATCTGCAGTTCTGTGTGGAGTAATATAGCACTTCATTGCCACAAGGAGAGCAATAGATTATAAAGTGTGTATCTGGTGTGATCTACCACATCTCATAGATTTGGTCCCAAGGATAATACACCAGCATGTAAGACCATCTAGTTAATGCATCCTGATGGAAATCAAGGGAATTAGACAGTGAACTCTGTGCACACTGTACAGAAGCAGAACTTCTGGTGCGTCATAATTTTAGTGGCAAAATGCAGGTACTATGGAGGTAGTAGGGAGGGATTTGGGATAATCACTCCACTTGACATAGTCACCTACATTTTATCTACATCCCATTTTCATAACTAAAACTATTTTTCCTCTGGGCCACCCCACAGTTTTGCCAGTTTACTCTTGAACAAAGATCTCAGTAGCTCATGGGAAGCTAGCACAGACTATGTATGCTGCAGGAAAAGGTATCATTATGTATTTTCGAGTATACTGCTATTGCTAGCTACTATATTGGGAATTGAAATGTTGCCCTGTAAAAAGCTGAGGCCAGTGCCCACCGGGGGTCTTTGCACGCAGTTATAATCAGTATTTCCCATTAGAAACAGAACTGAAACACCTGTGAAGCAAGTTACAATACTTCCACAGTAAAGCCACACAAGTATTCTTGAGCCACAAGTTTGTCTCTCAAGCTGTAATTTCAGCTGAACAATAATAGGAAAAGTAAGATAGAAGTGCACTGCTACGAAATGGAGATTACTTCTCTAAGTGTGCTAAAGCACAATCTTTACCTAGCAGCTGATCTCCGATATCCCTCATCTCTTCTTCATAAAGGTTTTTAAAAACTGGAGAGAAGCAACCTTGAAAATAATCTTAAACCTATGCATGATTTGATTATTGCTATTTTATTTTTACATGAAAAATGCAGATCCATTATAGAATATTGAGACAGATTTTTGTCTGCTTCTTCTGCTCAGGAAATGAATATTATTAAATAGTGGTTTAATCAGAAAATACATTACACTCTTCAGTACCAGATTCACTGATAAAATTTGTTAGTGATCTCAGAACATTAAACACCTAGGTTTACTTCACCTCTCCCAACTACCAAAAAGCTGAGTATTAGGACAGGAACAGCATGACAATTTGAACTGTCCCTCTGCATCATGTAATACCTAAAATAGCCAAAATATTCACGTCTTCTTTGTCTTCTACCTAGACCGTATTCATACACAGCAAGAATTTAAACTTATCTGCAAAGGATGAACTTCACTCTCTCCAACAAACACGTGTGGGAGATTCCCTTCCTGAGGTGTGGCAGCTGGCTCATTATCAAATGCAAAAATGAAACATCTGGGTGCCAGAGATGGTCACTTGCTTGTTTTGTACTGCGAGCTATTTACAGAATATGCTGTGAAGCTATTTAATTTGAGAGGGCAATCCTATAGATGCAGAAATCTCACACTATTTTAAAGAAGGATGTACTGTTTCTTGTGATTACTCTTGTATTGTCTTCTCTACAATTTTGCACACATCTGTATGCATAGTTTTTCTATCTGTAGAAATATTTCCTATTTCTTATCTGTATTTCTGTAACTGCTACTTCAGTTGCAGTAACCAGTACACTATACATAGACAGTAAATTAATTTGTACATGCCTTTTCAACAAATATGGTCAGAAAAACTTGGAATAAAATTAGATATCCTTTTCTTTTCATGTTTACTTTCTTTTGCTTCAAGTTTCTTCGTTCTCTATTGCAAGCTGCCAAAGACCATGAACTTCTCTCTTCCCCATCTTTCACATTCTGAATTATGCAATGGAAATTTGCTTGAAAAAATGGAGGAGTGCTTATTTTTCATGTTACCAAGAGATAGCTCTTCGTAACTTCATTTTGTAGAAAAAACCCTTTGATGTTCATCACCCAGTGATCATACGGTTTTTTGGTTAGGTGCTGTCATGAGCTATATTATGATACTTTTCCATTCATTATATTGACTCTAGCAGCCTTTAAAGAATTTGTCTGCTGACAGGCAGGTCTGCACACAGATTTAAATTAAAAAAAATACTAGGGGATAAAGACTAGCAGAGAAACAAGCATAATTCTACTGTTGTCTTCATTGTAGTATGCATTACTGAAGATCCTCCGTACAGAACAGATTTTTTCCCTGTGTCTGGCATATTGGGATTTATTTCCCTAGATGATAGTCTCTGAACACAAATCTTGATTGGAATCACTCATTCTGCTTTGTTAGTGTATTTCAAAAAGTTCCATTAACAATTTTCCCAAATCCCATTTGCATTTCCTAGCTGCTTCCATAAGCAAGAGGCAGCATACCCTGTTGCTGCCTTGAGCAACACATGTGGTGACAGGCCAGTCATTTGCTACCTCAGAATAGAGAGGGTGATGAGTTATAAACTTTCCTTCAGTGACAGCACTTGTTTTGGTGTCTCTTTTCTACCAACTCTCTAATTTTTATTAAACTTGTAGGACTACATTAGCTATGTCTTCAATTGCAAGTAGTGTAGTCTTTAGAAATAGATTTGTAGACAGCAACAGCTGGTACTGGGGATCCAGTGTTCACACTATACATATTTCAAGGAGTTTTAACTATCTCTGATCTGATTCAGCATAATTTAAAGCCTGCTATAAGTGGAGACTGCTGGTATGCTTCTAGAGCAAATCTTGTCATTCAATTTAGTTCTGAATGATGTTTGTGCATGCTGAGACTGCTCTGCATTGCTCTGCAATGCAAACACAACAAAGGGGACAACTAGTAGATTTGATTCAAAAATGTACTGCTGATTTGACCTAAAATGCTACTGTATACATACCAAACATTTGATTTATTCTTTTCTCTTAAATTTGGTACAAATTGGCCAGAGAGTTTCAAAAGCTATAGAAGCATAGCAAATGACTGAGAAAGAGAGAGATATATGTTCTATTTTAGTAGAACATCATGGCATGGAAAATAAAAAGTCATGAAAACATCTCAGAAGATACTTAAGAATACTACTCAGTTTTTATCATACAGCTTCTATCCTATGCTGCTGTAATTCCTGCCAGGAAATTATTCTGACCTTTAGTAATAGCAGTTTTTTTCCACCTCATTCTCATACCTTTCACACAATACTGGCAGGCACAAGATTATTCCTCTTTTCATTGTTTCCCTCCATTCCAAGAGACATCTGTAAGCCTTTGTGCTTTCAAAGTGCTAGATGCTCAAAGGCTCTTCTGAAATTAATAATAATCAATGCCAGCAGCATCTCAACACCCTACCCAGTATTTGCATGTGATGGAGAAAAAACAATAGCAAAAAGGAGACACCAACTTGAATTCTTCCAGCAGTTGTTTCAAATGGTGAATATTTTCCTTTTTTAATGTGAAAAAAATAAACAATGTACTTAAACAATATCTTTTAAAATCCAGAACATAAACAGAATCTGAATTACCCCAGTGTTCTGAAAATTCTGTATTTCTCCACAGTTCTACTGGCAAACAAAGATAATTTCTACTAGTAATGGAATTTATACTCTGAGTAGCCCTATGCTTTGAAAAATGCAATCCAGTAATCATCTTTCTGATCATTGGTACATGGTAGCTGCATTAGTTTGGAAAGTGTTTTTTAAAATTTAAACATTCAACAAATACTGGCTACATGTTTGAAGCCAAAAAGATTTGTATATAAGCATTTCATTTAATTTTTGTCAGTGGAGGACTTAAAAAAAAACTGTAGGGGAGAAATAGAAAACAGTTTTGAGAAAACACTACTGAAAGTGATACGCTAACTAAAATGGTATAGAAGGTTGTATCTAAATGCAATTCTGATCATTTAGGTGAAACTTTTACATATACTGTGTAATGTAAAATTATACTAGAAGAATGATTCTTCTGATATCTTAAAGAAGATAATAGTCAAAGCACATTCTGTAATGTACGAAATTCTCTGAAGGGGGCTATGAGAAAAAAATACCCATGCAAATATGATGCATTAAGTGTAAGAAACACCTACCTTGTTGAATATCCTTCATCTCCAGGTGCAAACTGGATATTAAAATTCCTACAGTTTGAGACCGTTTTCCATCCAACAGTTTGATAATCTAGAAAGATGATGCAAAATGATCTGATATCAAATGAACACTCTACAAAGAATTCATTCACATTAATGACAGAAGCTAATTTGTGAATCGAACTGAAGGTCTCTCCAAACATCAAACCTTTTTATTAACTAAATGTGGTAGTAAGAAATTCATCTTATCTCTATGTTCTTCACCTTAACAAATGGCTGATAAATGTAAGCTTGAATTCTCACCAGGTCTAGTAAAGAACATCATCTTTTACTTGTAAGATGCTATTAAGAAGGGAAAAAAAGGCATATGAAATACTTATTCTGGAATTTATTTTTTCCTTCTTTTCCTTGAGGTGATCAAGGCAGAACTATTTAAGACACTCTGAGTACATCACAAGTTGTTTAGTTTGTCTGCTAGTTTAAATTTCAGTGTGAACACATTTAAGTCTATCTTTCGGACAAAGGATCAATTCCTGAACAAGGAGAATTGGAAAATTGTCTTCTTAAGCCCTCTCAACACAATTTCTGGATTACTGGAAGAATGTTTTTCACTCTTGTCTGAAAGTGCTTCTTCCACACCCTTGACTCTTCACAAGGATTTGAGGATTTTGTTCACATTTTGGGTAACAGGCACTTGTTGGTATAATATACTGACATTAAGAGTTTAATCTTTTCAGATGTTGGGTGGGGGAGGAGAAGAAAAGGAGGAAGGGAAACCTTGAGCAAATTATTTTGGCTGGTTGAAGTTAGTGATACTGATGTGGATCAGTCCATAAATAATGAAAAGTAAACCAAGAATTTTAGAAGTGTAGTTCAGATGTTGGAAATACCAGAACCAAACTTCCCACAATGTTTGGACTGTTGGTATTTGTGATTTCGATTTATGTCATGAGGAAGATACAAAGATACAACAGCAGTACATCACAAAATGCAAAACAGATGTAAGTTCTTCAAAATAAGAAATGTTCATACCCAAGCTGTTGCCTTACTTCATAGTGTTGATGAACAAATACTATTAAAAATACTAACTCACATGTAAAATGAAAACTAATAGCAAAGTTTTCCCTAAATTAGTATTTCTAGTATCTGAACAATATTTAATCTACATACCAAAATTTTCTTTTAATAGGTGGGTGACAATAATATTTAGATATTTAATAACATTAAAAAATTTAGGTAATTTTTATCCCTCATCCCTGTAATATTCTTTTAGACGCTCACATTGCAGAGTTACTAACAAAATTTGTACCAGCCCAAGCAAATGTTTCTTACCTATGTTTTATGGGATTTAGGAATATTTAACTATGCAACTACTTAGTCATTCAACTATATGAAATGCAGATTTGTAACTGAAAAATACAGGAAAAAGAGAAATGATAGTGACATTTTCATCTGAAAATGCAAAGTTAGTTCTTATTTGTAGAGTATTGAAATTGGGCAATACATGAAGAAGCTGGTATACATGTTGCCTTCAACAAATATCTGACAGGTATTTTATGTCCCTGTTGTAGGGACTCAACATTTAATGAATGGATGTTAAAGTAGATGTTGCATATTTTCTGCCACAATTGGAAATAAAACCTATCCTGAGGTAGCATGTAAGCTGGATAGTAAGAAAGCAATACTATTTAAAGTGTTTTCTTCAAACGAGAAACAATTCAGGGTCTTCATCTCCTGAGTACACAAGCAGACAAGATGATGTGGCTACCAGTTACTGTAAATGAATACTCTGTAAGCATCACATCCTGTTGACTGTGCTTTTTCACTGCAAATGTAACTGCTCAGTTTATCTTGGTAATTTCTGAAGCTTTACATGAATTTGCTGAACTCCACAGCACATTAACTTCTTACAGGGATAATTACAGGCTTGAGTAGTATGCAATTTGTATAGCATTCACTGACCTCCAAGTTGACCTTATTCAGGGGCAAATTCATACGTTGTCATAAACCCCATTAGACACGCCTAGTTTGAGGCAAAACCTTTCCAGACTATAGCTGTTGTAGACAATATGATATTTGAAATTATACTATTAAAGTATTTTTAAGTGCTAATATATTATGATTCTATGATTCTCCAGATACGATCAAACTAGCTCACATTGTTAAGCAAGACTTCCTCCTTCACAGATTAGTGAAAAAAAATTTAAAGATGACCCTGTATAATTTTAAAAGCTAAACCAGAGATTCATGTTTTAAAATGGTCAGCTAACTCTGTGTTCACACACATTTTAGACAAATGTACACATGCTCACAATTACCAGGCATCAAACTAGACTCAGACTACCTGAAAGAGCTTCGACCAACTGAAATCTATAACTGAAAGCTAATATCTTATTCCTTAGAGAGCAAAAATGGAGCAACAAGACAAGAGGATAGCTCAAATTGGGCATAAAATACTCTAAAACCACAGTTGTATCATAGATTTTTAGAACCAATGTGTAACTTGAAAGATCTTGCAACAGAGAACATATTTTCAGAGACACTAATTTTCCCCAAAATTCTGATTATTCTGGGCAGTCACCGTGACAAGGAATTAAACATGCGTGTGAATTCCAAATAGAAATGAGACATAAAAAATATCAGCCCTTTTCCAGTTCATAAAAAAAGGCAAATGAAGTGAAAGTTTGTAAAGACTGCACTGAGTTAGTCTATGCTTTTAAAAGACAAATCACTGATCACCCTTCAGCATATTGGGATTTGCTTGTAGCTGGCAGCGACAGGTAAGCAGCTAAAATCCAGCTGACGCCGGTTGGTACTTTTATGCCAGCTGGCAGGGTTTGCCAGCTGCCGGCTGCTCTTCTAGACTGTGAATGTACCCTTGTAATGGATGCAGCATCTTCTGGCTCAGTGACAAAATTGTAACTGCTGGTGCTAATTCATTTAATTCACTGATGCATAACATTATTTTCTTTATGTGGTGTTCCCTGACTATTTTTTTAATATTATTGAGTTGATTTGCTGTATACAAGTGGATCTTCTGCATCTTTCAAATACTTGTAACCTAATTTAAAAGTGGAGACATACTGAAGCTTGAATGCATTCATAAATTACCCTGTCATTCCCATTAAAAGGTGTTTCTCTACTGTAGCCAGAAATGTATTTAATGAAATATTATAGGACAGACTTCACTGTTTTGTCTAAGTGCAATGTCTACATTCAGTCCAGGACACTTAGTGGTGCTGAAATCAGATTCAGTTTACTTTAGTGATTAAAAACTAAGTCCTTCCTCCTGCTGGTGCATGGATTCTTTCCATAATAGTTAAATTTATTGAGAAACCATAGGCTAAAAAGCTGTACTGCATGTCAGTGTTTCCCTCCATTCCCACTCATTAACTTTTGTGGTGAAGTCAACAGCCTTGACCCACAAATAGTCTGCTGAAACTGTGTTCAAGCAAAGAATATCCTCTACAAGAAGGAAGTAAATATGCCCCTCTAGCCATTCTACATAAACAGTCCAAGAGGTACCAATGAAATTTCAGAAGCTTAAGACTAGACATTATCTCTTATGTCTTTTCAAAGGAGAGCCAAGCTTAACTATTTTTTATTTAACATAGATGAACCATAGCTTTATCTTTTTTTTAATATTTAAAAAATATTTTAAGAGACGTTATTCTATTTAGAGTCTTACTGGATGAAAAAAACCTAGTATTTTTAGCCTTTTGCTAAAGGACTAGTAAATGGCAATTTCTCAGGATAAAATAGGAGATAAGAAATGAGCTAGTAAGAAACTTACTTCAATATCTTTATTCCTATCAAAAACATAAAACCAAGACAAAGGCATAAAATGGATATTTACCCTTTACAGATACTTTCCATATCCTACATGACTGCAAAGCTTTGTGGTAAATAAGGAAATGACATATTCATTCTTCTCAGTACAGCACAAAAAATAAAAATAGAGTGCCTCCAAAGAGCAAGCACTAGTATTTTACTACTTCTACTCAAGTTTGAACACTCTTTATTATCTTCTGCAGACAGCTGAAGACAGTCATTGTGCCTCAGCCCTGCAAAGCTTCCAACATTTTCTGCAATATCTGCCCTTCTTGCAGAAACACAAAATTCATTAACTGTAATTCCTCATTTAGTTAGATGGATAAAAAACTTGCTGACAGACATATCCCTTTCAGTTAAAAAAATGCAATTCACTCAAAATATTGACACTCTTCTTAAATGAGAACACATGTTAATAATTACGTGAAGTCTGTTAGAGATAATAGACAACAGAAAAGCCATTATCTTTAATGTCCTCCTGCATCTTTGAAATGATAATCATTGCACTAAAGGGCCAAAAATGATTGATGGACTTTCATTTGGAGCATACACCTGACACAAATTACTCAACATATACTCATTCTTTTTGTAAGATGGAGTGGCATCACAAACATGAAACTATCTTGTTTCTTGAAAAAGTATAGAAAATACTTGAGGTTTTGAGAATAAGTTACTAACAAGTTCTCAAATACTAAATCAGCTTCAAAATATGTTGAAGTCCAGCAATGGTGCTACAGAATGCACTTGGAATAAATCATAGTAAAGGAATGTTCATCTCTAAATTACCTCTTTTTCAGGCTTACAGGGTATCATAGCTTAATATATAATGAATCATGTTTTTTATTTAATTCCAAAATATTTGTCATAATTCTGCCTTTCTTCTATTTAGTATTACAAGAACAGATTTTGGTTCTGCAAATTTAATAGGAAAGGGAAAACTTATGGATTGAAAACCATTACATGTGCCAATCAGCTTAAAAATTTTCATAGTTATGTACAGATGAGAAATGTTAACAGTTTAGAATGAATGAAAGCCAAATTTTTTACATGTAAACTTCAGTCCTTTATCTGACATGAAAACATCTATAGAATAATTTTAGAGTCTGAGAAAGATGTTAGATCCTTCAAATTACATTTAAATCTATTGATTTCTTTTTCTTTAAAAGCAACGAATGGTTTTTGGTTTGGGTTTTTGTTTGTTTATTTTGTTTTCAGAAAAATAGGTTAGAGTTTCAATATGCTAATTTATTTCAGTTTTCA